CAGCCGCGACGTCCGGTGCTGGCGCAACGCGCTCCGCCGGCCGCGCAACCCCGAAACCAGGTTCCGGACCCACCAACGGCCCACGCATGCGCAGGGCGGCCCCGAGCCCTGCGGCCGCGCCCCTTCCCCGCCTCGCGCGCGGCCCTGCGCCCCCACCTGGCCACGCGGTAAAGAAAGTCTCTGAAAGATGAGTTTATTAAAAACATATGCTCCTTGTTAAAAAGTCCAAGCAATACAGAACAGGCCAAAGAAACAAAAGCAAGTATCCCAATCTCACCCAGAAATAACCATCGGTGGGTTACAATTGGGGAAAGTGGCATTCTGTACATCTCGATAGTCACATATAAATAGAGAAATAATTTCAGGAACTTGACGTCATACCTTTATGCTATAAAAAAAGACGGCATTTCCCCCGAATCTAACATAAGAGAAACAAATGAATTTAGACTGCATTTTAGATAAATGTTTCTTTGCTACAGAGATATAATATCCTAAAGTATGCCGCCAGGGCCAGCTTCACCGGCACCCACCTCTGCCGCTCAGACGGGCCTCATGCTTGGCTTAATGCTCTGCTGTGACCGTCTCGAAATTTTTAGTAATTTTCAACAAGGAGCTCTACAGTTTCATTTTGCACTGGGCCCTGCAAATTTCGTAGCTCACCTTGCATATGATTGTGAAAAAAAGTTATGAAAAGCCCTAAGAGGCTAAAATCTATGTTTTTAACCCCATGTTTCGATTTCTGATTGTATTTATTTATCTCCTGTGCTGAAAAAAGTTAGGAAATTGTTACTATCATTTCCTCCCCATCCCCGCCTCTTAATTTCACTGATTTTGTTATTACTGCTACAAAGTCAGTGTTTATGACACATTCTGTTCCGTAACCTCAGGTCCAGTAGTTATTTGAACTTGGCTTATTCAGTCCATCAACAAATATTTATTAAGTGTCTATTTTGTGGGTGGCATGGCTCTAGTGCTGCGGATAGAGCAGTAAAGAGGTAGATCCCTGCCCTGGTGGAATCTACTAGCAGAAGGCAGACGTCAACAGATCAACATATAAATGAATAGGTGGGGCCGGCCCCGTGGCTTAGCGGTTAAGTGCGTGCGCTCTGCTACTGGCGGCCAGGGTTGGCATCCCGGGCGCGCACCGACGCACTGCCTCTCTGGCCTGGCCGCGTCCCACATACATGCAACTAGAAGGATGTGCAGCTATGACATACAACTATCTACGGTGGCTTTGGGGGAAAAATAAATAAATAAAAATTAAAAAATAAATAAATAAATAAATGAATAGGTAATGTCAGGTGATGACAAGCGCCAGGCTGACAACCAAAGCAGGAGAGGGGACGGAGGGTGGTAGGGGCTGTTTTGAATAAGATGGTCAAGAAAGACCTCTCTGAGATGAGGTTTGAGCAGGTCCCAGATGAAGTGAGCCTTGCAGGTATCTGAGGGAGAGTGGAATAGAATGAGGGGAAGCATGTGCCAAGGTCCAGGGGCCTGAGAAGTGCTGGGATGCTCCAAGAACAGCACAGGGGCTGGTGTGGCTGAGTGCAGTGAGTGAGGGCAAGGGAGGGCAGGGTCAG